CATTTACTGAATGCTAAAGACAGATTAGAATACTAGTGATAAGCAGTTGTTCGTGCAGTTTACGTTCTCTTAGAATCCTTGCGAGAAACAGTAAAATTGATCGCCTGTGCAGGCCCCCCCTCTGTCCCTACTAGTAGGTTGTTAAGCTGGCTACGGATCGTATGATGTAGGGATATTGAGCGCTAAATGAGCGATCTCATCCTCGGCCAACAAATACGGGCCAAAGCGACAAGATGCTGTGTTTTTCATGTTTGCAGCGCGGCTGTTGCTTCAACAGGGATTCCGCTAATTCTCTGTCTACTAGCATCGCGCACCGCAGCAACTTGAACTTTTCATCAAGCAGGGAAATTCATTGGTCCGGCGTGTCAGATCAGCAGTACGGTCGATCTGGAAACGAAGAAGCGCATTTCTTCAGCTGACGAGACACACGCAACCTGAATTGCTTCAGCAGGTGTAAGTTGCCCTACCTCCTGCCGACACTGAATATCCAACGGTTGATATAAAAAACGAAAATTGTCATTGTCCATCCCTGAAATTAGGAAACATAAAAGAATTGTACTTTCAGCCACGTTCACCAGCTCTTCCAAAAGCGTAGACAATGATTTCTCTGAACGCATGCTGCGATTTCTGATTCATGCTGCATTTCGCAATCTTCTATGATTCAGCAGAACCGTACAGATGGGGGCTGCCACTTCGACCTATTGTTTTATAGTACGTGATTTTGGAAATTTGATGGGCAGAAACATTCTTAAAATGCATGGTACAGAGGCCAATAAACTGCGTATTGCCCACATTCATAATAATACTGTTTTAGCAAAAACTCCGCAGAAAGCCTGTTTAGAGTTAGATTGATTATTGCTGAGAAGTTCTTGGATATCGGCGACTTGTGCGACAGTGGTAACTTACAGTCGCTACCGCGAGGCTGTAATGGAGGGCTGTTACAGCACCAGAACAAACTGAAGTAACGCTGAATGCGAACCTATTGTTGAGCAATGCGGCAGTTCCTAACTGTCCTGTCTGCAGCGTTTCACAATCCCCAGGCTACCTTCTATTCAGTTCTTTCGTAGATAATGTGTCATTTAATTCATCCAATTTAAGTTTCATAGGCAATTTCGCTTTCACCGGTCCACTTACGGATGAGAAAGGAGGAAGGTTGGAGATTATGGTGAGGTCACCGTAAAAATTAGCCATCATCCCTTGTGGTATTGTCGTCATCGAAGTTATTCCGGCTCCGTCGTCGCCCAAATTACCAAGGGCTGCGTAGGCTGTTGCAGAACTGAGGCAGGCTGCGAAGCGTCGATTATCAGATCAGTGAGCAGTTCCACCTGCTTTCAGAGTCTTCTGGCAACAGTATGACAGCGGCTGCTGAGGATTGACAAAATAACATCGATGATAGCAGTCAGCAACGGAGCTGCTACCCGTTCTGAACGGAAGAGGCAGAGAGTGCAGTACCATTACAGTACGTCAGATAAGGCAACACGATATCGCCACTGGGAGTTTGCAATCGAAGCTGTAATATATCCTCACTCAGATGGAAGAACAGGAAATAGTTGATGAGGCCGCAAAGTATCAACTCGAAATAGTTGAACCCGTCAGCAAAGCGCCAGTGCTCAGGAATTTTGAACCTCTGCGGGTGGAATCTATTCTACTCAGATGTTGACATCACGACGCGCGCTCGGGCTGG